TCACACTCTGAAAACAGATCACAGCAACATTTTACAACATGGGGTAAAAATAAAACAACATTAAAAACAACTAAAAAACTATTAATTAAACAGTTTGAGAGCTGTTGCTGTGCTGCGACCTGCTGGTAGTACCCTGTAACTGCACGGTTCCCTCAGGGATTAGGTAGCTTTTCTTTTCAGAGCCAGTGGGTTTTGCTTGTACTGCTCACATCATTTTCTTTCCTCTCAACAAACATCACTCTTTCATTATTTTCAATTTACTTTCAATTCAAAGTAAAAACAAGCAATGAGAAACCAGCAGCATGACAGCGACATCTGAACGTATTTAGAGTGCTTTAGGTTTATGTGCTTATCAATGTAAGTATCATGCACTCAGTGTTTTGTCTTTCTTTGCTTTTGTTCATCTGGCTTACAGGCAGTGATCAACACGATGTGCGGTTTTGGAGTTCAAACGCAAAACTTCATGGAGGCAAACAAGTCGATCTACCCAGTAGGCTGTGCAGACAAAGCAGTGATGTGGATCGAGTCTCATCTGCTGCTGGTGGGAGCTCTCGCCTTGGGTCTGGCCTTACCTCAGGTAACCCAGACTGTGCAGTAATTAGGCAACACAGGACTAGTAACCTGCCAAAAGGACTAGTTTCATCTTGACTAAGACTACACACAAACAAGCCAATATAGCTATTAATGAAAGTTCGCTGGATTCAGTGTGTAGCAATCAACATATTGACTGGAGGCAAACTTCAAACTGGCGTTTTCGGATGTGCGAAAACAGTCCAAGCTCGACTTCAGCAATCAGAGCCATGCAGGCTTTATACTCTAATACAAATCTCAACCTGAGAGCTTCCCACGGCCTTCTTTTACAAGTTCAATATCGTCCTAGTAAAAAAAATAAAATAAATAAATAAAAAAAAGGGATAAAACTTGGATTCTGAAGGAAACCAATAAGGAGTAGGGTTAATGTGAGGCCACGGTGATTCAAGGGATTTGGAATGGTGTGTTCTACCTAGACAGCAATAACTAGGCACACTGGGACAATAAAAGTTTAACTGCACATTATTCATTTATTACACTATCCTAGAATGAGTGCAGGTTAATGTGCAACAGAGGTAGAGGGGTGTGTGTGATAATGTAATATGTCTAAGAGATGCTGATGACTCCCTGATTCTCACTGTGCAACAATCCTCCAGCATTTCAGCTGCAGCAGACGGAAATCTAGAGAATCTGAAATGCCAGAATTTGAAAATAGACAGGCCTCCTCTTGAAGCTCCTCTTCCTCTTCTAAATCCAACCCCATGTTGTCCCATAAATATGTACCAAACATCTATGCTGACGCCTTCTATTGCAATGGCAGTTCTTTCTACTACTTACCTGCCAAAACTTCCCATCATGAACAAGCCTGAAAAGAGAAATGTATTCACACCTAAGACCAGTGTTGGTCAAGTTACTTGAAAAAAAGTAATCAGTAACTAATTACTGATTA